TAGCGAATTATACAACTGTTGTATAGCGAAATATACATATTTATGTTTGCTATGGAGCACAATTATATAAATTTTGATATAACATACAAATATAAATTTTGTATTTGTTATATGTGAAAATTAAACTATTTAATTTCGAACACCTTTGATGTAAATAAACAATTTTATCAGTAATAATTTATCACAAATTTAATTTATATACACATATTAGAATATATTGCGATCGGGCTTCACATTAGACATTTTTTTATTATAAACATCAAATCAAACATACAAATCTTTTTATTTTTTTATATTAAAATTTAAGCTAAAAGTATCAAAATAGGAATAATTTATCATTTGATAGGTTGGTTGATTGGAATGCAGTAAATGGAAGAAGTTGAACAACGAAAAAAATATATTATTATATTCAAACGCGTTCTTAATAAATTTAAGGGAAAAAGACTGAAATATATTTACTTTTTTAGAGTAAACGTCAATTTATATTATTCGTTAAAAAATTAATTTCTTTATTTTATTTCACTTTTAAGAAAAAAATCATCTATCTCATTATTTATTAACAGAAAACAATTATTTTTTATGTATCTAACTGTCTTCTAACCTTCTTAGATTGTAATTAGGAAATTGAGTCCTCTTAAGATTTATTTGTTTTTCGTTTGATAATGGTAACTTACAGTGATTACCAAAAATAAAAATAATTTTTTTTTATAAATTTAGTCAAAATGCACAAGTTGATACGAACTTTGGGTTTATTAGTATCTTGTTTTATTCCTTCATTATCTTCCACAAGTTTTATAGTGGAGAAAAGATAATGATACATTTTAGATTCAATTTTAAAAAACTATATTTTATAATCTTATTTAAATAAACTAATCCCCAAAGTAATTTTATTTTATTGCTTTCACTTTATTTTTATTTCTTCTCCACTATCAGAGGAGCCTATTGATAAGATGATTCGGTCCGTCAATTACTATAATTATTCAGTATTGAGATTAATGATTCCTTTTCTTTTAAATATGGAAAATATATGAGTAGTCCCTAGATTATAACTGAAATTTTAAAAACACATCTTAATTGAATTTATTTTTTATAATTTTGTGCATATGCGTCTTAATTGTATAGAATCACAAAGTATGTCACGTAAGATAAAATGTATATGAAATTAAAAAAAAATTAAGTTCTAGGACCATAGATTAATTAAGGTGTGTCTCTAAGATTTCGATCATAGTCTATGGGGCTACTTATACATTTTTCCTTTTAAAAATAAAAATAATAAAATTTTATGTATTAGTAAAGCATATAAAACTTGAGTATATACAGTGATATAATCATTCACTGTTGAAAATAATGTGATAATTGAAGCAAAGAATATAAATAGTATTAAAATTGAGTAATAGATCTCTGCATTTATAAAACGTTAATTATAATCTTTTAATCCGTTCATCAACCTTAAATTGGATAACCTATTATCGGTTACAGTTAGGTTTTGAACAACCCCAAATGTAGATTAGTAAAATGATTCTTGTTATTTATAATTTCTAAAATCGTGTGTAAACAGGAAAGTAGACAACTAATAGAGGATGGAGGGATGTACTATATGTAAACACTGAATTTCAAAACAAAAAAAGGAAAAAGGTTTTGCTAATTGAGATATTAATGGTGATGAAAAAGCTTAAGAACAAGTTGACACTTATATTGATAAATATTGCTTCTATAATGGAAATGGCTGATGAAACTCTGTTACCTAGAGTTTATAAAGAAGTTGGCAAGGACTTGAACATTGATCCTGCTGGTCTTGGTTCACTTAGTCTTTACAGATCATTAGTTCAATGTCTTTGTTACCCCATTGCTGCATTCCTTGCTGCTAGTCATAATCGTGCTAATGTCATTGCTCTCGGGGCTTTTCTTTGGTCCGGTGCCACGTTCCTTGTTGCCATCTCCTCTACCTTTGCTGAGGTCTCTGCTTCAATCCTCTGTTTTTTCAAATAGTGTTGTATTTGTGGTTTGTTTGTGTAGTTGACAAGAATGAAGGTGTTATCTTGTTTGATGTTGTTTAACACAGATAGCAATTTCGAGAGGATTGAATGGAATAGGACTTGCGATTGTCACACCAGCAATCCTATCTCTAGTTGCTGATTCAGCTCATGAGAGTAATCGCGGTACAGCTTTTGGATGGTTAGCATTAACAGGAAGCTCTGGTGCAGTTGTTGGTGGGACTATGTCTGTGCTGATTGCGGAAATGTCATTTATGGGAATTCCGGGCTGGAGAATCTCCTTTCATTTGGTTGGTATTGTAAGTGTTCTTGTTGGTCTTTTAGTCTATTTCTTCGCGGAAGATCCCCGTTTTCTTGACAGAGATGTCAATGCAAAAGATCTACCTCTCGCGGAACCATTTCAAGAACAACTGAGAGAACTGTTGAAAGAAGCAAAATCGGTTATCAAAGTACCTTCCTTCAAGATAATTGTTGCACAAGGGGTTTTCGGATCATTCCTTGGGACATCACTGTCATTTACTACTATGTGGTTGGAGCTTGTTGGATTCTCTCACAAGACAACAGCACTCATCTCGAGTTTGTTTGTAGTTTCTCTGTCATGTGGCGCGGTTTTTGGAGGATTCGTAGGGGATGTATTGGCGAAGCACTTGCCTAATTCTGGTAGGATCATCGTCTCTCAGATAAGCACTGGTTCAGCTGTTCCCTTAGCTGCAATTCTGCTGCTGCTATCGCCTATAGATCCTTCCACAGCTCTGTTGCATGGTTTAGTCTTGTTTATATTGGGATTTTGCGCATCATGGACCGGTCCAGCAACAAACAGGTATGTCTACTCTTTCCACTTGCATACTCACACACAGGCATATATATGCAGTTGAAATGTTTTAAGAAGCACATGTTAGGTACATTCATATTAGTAGTCGTAGTATTGCTCCTGTTAGTTTCTTGTCCTTCGATTTCTGTTACTATCTTTGCATTGATCATAGATGGACTTTGATGTTTTGTAGTCCAATATTTGCTGAGATAGTTCCTGAGAGAGCTCGGACAAGCATTTATGCTCTGGATCGATGTTTTGAGACCTTGTTAGCATCATTTGCTCCTCTTCTAGTTGGTACTTTAGCTCAACGAGTGTTCAGTTATAAGCCAATCACTGAGGGATCTTCGACCTCGGGGGAAATCGAAACAGACAGACAAAATGCTGCATCACTTGCCAAAGCAATGTACACTGCAATAGGCATTCCAATGGTTATTTGTTGCTCTATTTACTCCTTCCTGTACTTCACATATCCACGAGATAGGGATCGTGTTCTGTTGCAACAGATTCATGAATCGCGCAATCTTCCTTATGAAGAACAACAGCCCTTACTCGAGCACGACGAGCACAGACTTCTTTCAGTAAATTCATTGTGAAATTCAGTAGTTAAAGTTTTGTGAAAGAAGCAAAACTTAGAAATAAATTTTCCTCTAAATACTTACTCCATTAGATGTTTACATTAAATGATATAAATTGGTATAGTTAAGTGGTTTACTGAAATGAAAATCTGTATTAATTAAGCATGATTAAAGTATGTTATTATTATGTTAGCTATATATTAACGAAGCTCAAAATGGTGAATAAAAGGCAAATTAAAATGCCTTTTTATGTTATTTTTTGCAATGGATCATATATATACTTTTAGTAGCCAATCATAATTTATGTCGATTTCCATAGTTTTTTTTTATATATATATATATACAATAACATTAACTACTGAATTAGCAATGAATCATTGATCATTTCTTCTACTAAAAATGTGAATTATTTTTTAGTAGTATTTGCTTACTATTTTCAAATGGGATATGTAAGGATTATGTCAAATTCTCTTAATTTTATCTGAACTTAGTTGTTTGTACCAACTATATAAGAGTAGAAATATATCAATGATTTTAACTCGCGATAATAAACTAGCTTTTAGTGTAACAATTAAATTTGAAATGATTCTTACCTCTCCCTTCGAGGTTTTAACCAAACTAAGTCATTTTATAAAGTTATTCACCAAAATAATATATTTTTTTAAAATTTTACAAAACTAGTATAAACGTATTCCACAGTAACGTTTTAGGATATATTTTATTTTTTATGGCGTCAGATTGATATACGTTACTCACAGTAACGTTTTAGGAGTAAAACGTTACTGAAAATAACGTTTTAAAAGTAAAACGTTACTTATAGTAACGTATATCAACCTAATGCTGTTAGTTTTTTAAAAATAAAATATACCCTAAAACGTTACTGTGAAATACGTTTATACTAATTTTGTAAAATTTTAGAAAAATGTATTACTGTGGTAAATTGTTTTTTATATAATGACTTAGTTTGGTTAAAAATTCTCTCCCTTTCAGATATTTACATCAAATCACATTGATTTTTTAAAACTAAGTGGTTTAATGAGGTAAAAAACCTATATCAATTAATCATGATTAAGGGTTTGAAAATTTAAATTTTAATCTTCTTGTTTATCACAATAGCAAATATTCTATTTAGATTTTAAACTACTTTAGACAAATCAAAATATACACACACAAAAAAAAAAGGCACGTGACATTTTTAAAAAATAATAGTCAACAAATAAAATAGATGCCCAACAATAAAAATAATAAAGCTCGCTATAATTATGGCAACTGCATCATAATTTTATGTTATAAACTACATCTACATCTACATTTACATTAATAATAAATTAAGTAGCCATATAAGGTATGTGAGCACATGTAAGTAATTATTTATTACATACTCGTAAAAAAACTAAATTTGCAATTAGAGACATTTTAATTGTTCGTGATTATGTCAATTCTCATAGATAGATACCCAAACAAAGAAGAAAAAGAAATCTAGGAAGAAACTTATCGACGCTTGAATATTGATTATCTGGATTTTCACTTTGTTGGTTAGTGTAATATTTTCTGTTAAAGCTCTAAAGCAGAGAAACAGAGCTACATTTTAGAAGTTGAGTATCCAAAATTTCAAATTGCATTAACTCTTTTTATTTATCCAAATTGCTCCTATGGAGAAGATAAGATCGGATAAGTTAACTCTTGTGTTGGTTAATATAGCTGGTATAATGGAGAAAGCTGATGAAGCTTTGTTACCTAATGTTTATACTGAAATTGGCAAAGATTTGCATACTGATCCAACTGGTCTTGGTTCTCTTACTCTGTTTAGATCATTAGTTCAATGTCTTTGTTATCCATTAGCTGCGTATCTTTCTACTCGTCGTAACAGAGGTCACGTCATTGCTTTTGGTGCTTTTCTATAGTCTGCTGCAACTTTCCTTGTTGCCATCTCTTCCACCTTCACTCAGGTTATTTAATTTATGTCGCGTATATCATGTTGTTTGTTTGTCTTGCGTAAAAGGTTTATCAGAAACAGTCTCTCTATCTATCTGTTGTTCACTTATGCTTGTAGTATACTGTTTATGTATGTTTTTTATGTGTAGATAACAGATGTTGACTTTTCATGTGTTTACTTTTTTATCATACTACTTGAATTTAAGCAAATCTAACAGATGTTGTTTAACACAGATAGCGATTTCGAGAGGATTGAATGGAATAGGACTTGCGATTGTCACACCAGCAATCCTATCTCTAGTTGCTGATTCAACTCATGAGAGTAATCGCGGTACAGCTTTTGGATGGTTAGCATTAACAGGAAGCTCTGGTGCAGTTGTTGGTGGGACTATGTCTGTGCTGATTGCTGAAACATCATTCATGGGAATCACGGGCTGGAGAATCTCCTTTCATCTGGTTGGTGTTATTAGTGTTCTTGTCGGTTTGCTAGTCTATTTCTTTGCCAACGATCCACAATACGTTGGAAGTAAGAAAAATCAGCGTATAGTAAAACCATTTCAAGAAGAAATTAGTGAACTGATAAAAGAAGCGAAAGCAGTTATAAAAGTTCCATCGTTTCAAATACTTATCGCTCAAGGGGTTTCGGGGATGTTCCCCTGGTCAGCATTGTCATTTGCCACAATGTGGTTGGAGCTTATCGGATTCTCTCACAAGACGACAGCACTTCTCAGTACTTTGTTTCAAGTTTCTCAGTCACTTGGCGCGTTGTGCGGAGGATTCTGTAAGAATTACAAGAAACAGTAAAGAGAAATGATTGGGAAATTTTCTGTGTATTTCTTTCTTCTTGTAAGCTTCTATATATACAAGTATTATGAAAAATCAAGAACCTTCTATTCCTAACAAACTATACAGCTGTTCTAATTCTATTTGTCCAAATATCTAACAAACTTTTATTCTTTACAAAGAAATCTATTAAGGGTAAAAAAAGAATCTAGGTATTGTATAATTGGATATATACAAATGGTGAGAAGGCATAAATATTCATAGCTTTGAAACCATAGCTGGGCCTTCATTTCTTGTTTCCGTTTCTGATCCTCCAGGCCCAACTTTGCTTTAGCTTGCTATTTCCGCAGGCCCAATATGATTCAGCCCATTATTGTCGGGGCCCCAATGTCAAACATTGCTGAAGTGATTTTGAAACATTTGGAACGTTCCTCTGGTCTGAAACTCCTCGATATTCTCTTCGATGTTTCCCAAGATGTCCATTGTTCTTCTCACCTTTCTCTTCGTCTTCTTCTTCACCTTCCTGATCTGCATGTTGTCGGAGATGCTTATCTTCAACAGATTCATGGGGGATGTATTGGCTAAGCGTTTGCCTAATTCTGGTAGGATTATACTCTCTCAGATTAGCACTGGATCAGCAATACCTTTAGCTGCAATTTTGCTGCTGCTATTGCCTAATGATCCTAAAACAGCTACGTTGCACGGTATAGTCTTGTTCATCACGGGATCAATCATATCATGGTGTGGTCCAGCGACAAACAAGTACGTCCTCTTCTCATCAAATATATTATTTGTCAGTACACTGCACAGATTTTTTTTCATGATCGTTTTCCTAATTCATGATCTCCATTTCAATCTGTTTGTCTGCTTTTGACTTGATACAGAGTTTAAGAAAGTAAAATAGACTTTTCAATCTTGTGGTCTTATAATTATAGATACGTACTAAAATGTTAACCCTTGACATGTTCGTAGTCCAATATTTGCTGAGATAGTTCCTGAGAGAGCTCGAACAAGCATTTATGCTCTGGATCGATCTTTTGAGACCATAATATCGTCTTTTGCTCCATTGGTGGTTGGTATGTTAGCTCAACAAGTTTTTGGTTATAAGCCAATCGCGGAGGGATCAACAGGCTCACAAGAGATTGAAACAGATAGACAAAATGCTGTATCACTTGCTAAGGCATTGTACACTGCAATAGGCATTCCAATGGTCATCTGTTGCATAATCTATTCCTTCCTATATTGCACATATCCACAAGATAGGGATCGAGTCCGGTTGCAGATGATTGAAGAAACAGACAACTCTCCATCCGAAGAACAACAGCCCTTACTCGAGCACGATGAGGGCAGAATTCATTCAGCAAAGTAGTTAGTAACAAACTTACTTCTTCATATGTTGTTTGTATTATTGAAATCAAAACACATAATAAAGGGAAAGTAACAAAACGAAACATGAATATTAAGTAAATACCACGTCTTTCTAAAGCACAAGACTCGATTTCCTCAATCAACGCGATGAGATGTGTATGAGAGGAACCCTCTTATTCAGTGGCATTCAGCAGTATCATCTCTGCCATCAACTTAGCATTTGCTCGGATTTTTAATTCGCTCAGGTTAACTTACCTGAGGAAAACTTTAGTGTCTGAATGCAGTATATGCATCCAGACACTAATGATAGTGACTCTGAGGCCGTGGAAGGCGAAGAGTCGAGCTATTTGTACCAATGCAAGTTAAATGGCTCATCATGTTGTATGGAAGGAACGCAACATGTGGTGCCATTGTGGTTCAAAGCACTAAAACAGAAGAAGAAAAAGAGGCTAAACAAAGTATATTTTTCTTGTTGAAACTCACAATTTATTAGTGTATTAGTGGAAATATGTTGAAAACACGTGTAGCTTAACATAACACATGAGTAATATATGTAGTAACACGCGAAGTTTAACAAAACACACGATTAATATATGTAGTAACACATGAAGTTTAACATAACACATGAGTAATCGATTGTGATTAAGAAAAACATAATAACACATAAGTAATTGATTGTGATTAAAAAAAACAAAATAACACATGAATAATCGATTGTGATTAAAAAAATAAAATAACGCATGAATAATCGATTGTGATTAAAAAAATAAAATAACACATGAATAATCAATTGTGATTGGAAAAACGAAAAAAAAAGTGGATCCGATTATATAATCAGGGGATTGAACCCGACGTGAATCGAACACGCAACCTTCTGATCTGGAGTCAGACGCGCTACCATTGCGCCACGGATCCTAAGATGTGATATTTATGTAATAAATTTTACATAAAGAATAAAAAAGTGTACTATTGTTTTGATAAATATTTTTTTCCAAGAAAATTATCACACACAAATTCAACTTCCCATGATATAATATATTAAGCATTCCAGTTGTATCCAAGGAATTAAAATTCTATTTTCCCAGATTTTCTATCGGATAATAACCTATAGAGTAATTTCACAAGCGAGATTTGAAGAAATCATAGAATGTAACATAGACTTTATAACTTTTATCATTGTAGGGCAGAAACTTTGTATGTCTAAAGGAATGATATATTATAGGAACAAAAATGAAAGAAAATATAACAATGAAATAACAAGAAAATACAAAGAAAATGAAGCAAGTTATTGATAATATTTAAAATATATAATATTAGAGGCTAAACAATAAAGAAAACTTTAATTAAATTAAATTAAATTATAATGTCAAACCACGAGATTTTGAACAAAAAACAAAAATACTTTTTTTATGATCAAATATAATTTTCAGAATTCAACTCTAAAACAAAATAAAAATATTTATTTACGATTTCGTTAATCATTAAGAAGTTTCATTTTTGTCTTTGAATCATAATAGTGGTGAATTAACCATCTTAATCAAAATCTTCGAATAGGCCTCCAACATTTATTTTCGCCATGTTTCTATAAACAAACAAAAGAAGAACATTATCTCTTACATCTTTCGTCTATTTTTAATTTTTATGTTGCATTTTTCAGAGATCACGAGTTTAAGCACTAAGTATAAAGAAATCATTTTGAAAGCTGAATTCATTTTTTTTAAAAAAAGATAAATTGACTAGTCAAATACAGATTGTTATTCTTTAAAGATACAAACTATATTTTTCAAAATTACTATTCAAATTTATTTAAGCAATCATAAAATTACGATAATAAACACATGTAATAATTTAGATTAAGAATATAAACAAATCAACTAAATAATTAAGATAAACAATCAAAATTTAAACCTACATTCCTTACAAATAAATAAGATCTTAAATAATACATAGTTTATTAAAAATACAAGAGTCAATTTTAGAGTCTAGAAAAATTTTGAGTAATAACAAATTTCTTTCTATTTTAGCTTATGATCATTTTTAGAAAAAATAATTAAAATCTCCACTTTACATGGATTCATAATCCACGTGTCAAAATTCTACACCCATGCAAAGGGGCCCCACACAAATTTTTTTTGAGCAAACAACAAATATAAAAAACGTGACCAACAAATAGCATTTGAAAAATAGAAAACATTCAGAGAGAGAAAAAAAAAGCTGAAATTAATTCATTCAAAAACTCCAAAAACGTATCGACTCACCGAGTTGTTTTGTTAAAACTCGGTGGCCGTAAAAATAAAATAAAAAAATTAACAATGGAGAAATCAACACCTGCACGGAATTCGAGAACATGCACGGCGGATCTGCTGAATTGGTCGTCGGAGGTTCCGCCGCCGTCGTCCGTTTCTCGTTCTCGTCAGGTATTTTTTTTGCCGTTGTTTCGCCGGAGAGCGAGGTGTTGAGGATTAATTTTGTCATTTTTGTTTTTTTTCTGTGGTTTGCAGCTTTCTAATGGAATCGGTAAGGTGTTGTTTGGAGGAGATGTTTCTGATGAGGAAGCTGAAAGCTTGTATAAAAGGTGAAGCTTTTTGAATTTGTTTAAAATTCGAAACGGTAAAAATTTCGTTAAATTATGTGAAATTGAACAAATTGTAATAGTTTGATCCAAAAATATTCGCTATATTAATAGTTTGGATTGAAAAATGTCCTCATTAGTTGTGGTTGTGGGATGTGACAGTATCCCTTGAGGGTGCGTGAAAGCTGGCTCAGAAATGACTTTATGAATATTTTTGAGCCAAATTATTAACGACATGAGCATTTTTAGGCCAAATTATTAATGTTTGTTCCATTTCACATAATTTAGGACATTTTTATGCTTTTTCGTTTAATATTTGGTATTTGAATGAAATGAGCGTGAAAATGAATGATTAGAAAAAGATAATATTATATAGCATATGTTAATTAATAATTTGGAATTGAAGCGTAAGCGATTTTTTTTTTTTGATATTTCATTATTATTTGATTCTTTTATAAATCTTTTATCTTCTTGTATTGCATGTTAGCTTAATATGTTCTATTGTGTAATGCTGCATTGTTCATTTCAATCTCCAGAATTTTGCCTGAAATATCATATTTTCTTATTTTTTATTTACAGTTATGTTTCATATAGAAGTTATGTGCGCATTTAGGGTTTCTTTTTCAACTTTATTCCGCTATTTAATAAAGATGATTTTTAAAAAAAAGTTGTTGTTCCCTGTTTCTTTTCCGAGTAAAGCTGATCGCTGTTTTGGTTTAAACGTACGATAGAGTGCAGTTGTTATTCTCCGTTGCTTTTCCTTTTCATTGTTCAGGATGTTCATGCCTTTCAATGATCTTTAATTTGGTTCTAATGCTTTTGTGTTTTTGATCTATCCCACCATTTGTTGTATATGTTACCGGTTTGATCTTTTTATTTTTATTATTATTGAAAATGTAGATTTGATGCTGCTCATCATTGATATGTTTTTGTAACATTCGATTTCGTAACTGACCAACCATTTTATATCTTAGGATACCCTTCGCATTAGGAGGATTGTTAATCATACTGGGAAATTGAAGTAGTTCTTTATAGTTGTTTTTTTATGTAATTAGGATGCTATTTTGTGGATGTCTGGTGTTAGAAATTACAGCCATAAGGATCGTATAGAGTTAATTAGATCTTTATTGTATGGAGTTGTCTTTGGACTTCGAGGAAATATTTGTAGATATAGTGATGAAGGTGGAGCTTTGCGGGTAGGTTGATGACTAGCTTAATGAAAGCCTAGTCTAAGCACTTCCTTAGTTGAGTGGTAATTGTTTTCTCACGCGACTTGTGACTAGTGGAACTGAAATCCGGAGGGTCATCAGGATTATGTTCCCGTGTTGTTGCAACTCATGTTAGTAGACCAAGAAGTTCCTATTGTTTGGAAAGAAAATGAAAATTAAGTAAATGACAATGGCTTTGAGTTTATGTACTCTTATTTCTAGAACTTATCCCTGTTGAAAATTTGCTATCTTCAGGAGACCTTCTTCAGGGTATAAACTGAAGGAGATGATCGGCAGCAATATATTTTCTGCTGGTGGTAAGGATGTTGCATCAGAATCTGGACCTGTTAACGGTAATGCTAACATCAGAACATCCGTGCGGATAGTTCAGGTACCAGTTTCCTCTTATTTAAGAAAATTTATTACTGCATCAGACTAGGAGTACGAGCAGGCTACATAATTAGGAAATCGGTGAATAGCACTTTGATCGAATTTTACGATGCCATTGTAGCAAGGTGCAAATGGGAAAAGCCAGATTTCTTTTGGTACTGAAGAGAAGATCTCCCAGAAGACGCCTACTGAAGTAGAAAAGCAGGACGAGCTAAGTGGAGACCAAGAGAACAAGACAGATAGCCTTTCATTAAGTACTGTAGAAAATATCTCCGAGGAAATGCCTATCACTCTAACAGAAGTGGAAAAGCAACATGAGCTGAGTGGAAATCAAGAAAGCAAGATTCGTAGCAAGGTGAAGAAGCAGTTGTCGGAAGCAAAGAGCAAGGAACTTAGTGGAAGTAACATCTTTGGACCTCCCATAGAAGTTCCTCCAAGATCATCGAAAGTTGCTCGTTCATTGCAACCCGAAGAAAGCAAAGACATGGGTGAACCTGCTCCACGAGTTGTGCACACATCTGTCAAGGTTTCTAATGTAAGTTGCCTACTGAGACTTGTTTCTGTTTCAAATTTCTCACTCCAGCCTCGACTGCACCACTCTCCCATCCCAACTCATCTTCTCAGTCTCTTCCCACTATCTTCTTTCTCAAATAGAGTTGAGGATTCAATGTGATAATCTCGTGAAAATGATATTAGATATAAGGAATCACTTTTTCGGTTTTACCATAATATAAATCCTTCAGGTAGATAAAGTTGACAAAAGAAAAAGGCTTTATACATATGTAGACACTGTAACTGACAGCTAAATACATTAAACTTGAGGAGGATGAACATCTAGACATCTCAACTCGTCTTCATTGTGTCACTTGAACACTCCAATTTACAAAATGATCATCTAGACACCTCCAAAATTTATGGGCTGCTTCAGCATTGGCTGTCCACGAGACACAGTGGGGACGAGTTGAGGTGTCTACTAGATGTTCATTCTCAAAGTTGAAGTATTTAGCTGTCAGTTGAGGTTAAGTTAAGGTCTCGTCTATGTATTTTGCTATTTGAACTAGTATGGATCTCATTTCTCACGTTTCAATTTCCGTGTTTTGCCATTTGAACTACGATGGATCTCATTTCCTCTTATGCATTGTGCAGCCTTCTGGTGGTCAAAGTAGTATCTTGTTTGGCGGTGAACCTGTTGTGGAGCCAGTAAAGAAAATACATAACCAGAAAGTTGCAGAGTTGAACGGCAATGGCATCTTCAAGGGAGACGCTGTCACTCCTCCTGGATCTTCCGAGAAGTCACTGAGCAGGTCTAAGCTGAGAGAAATGAGTGGTAGCGGTATATTCTCCGATGGTAAAGCTGAATCCAGAGTTTGCTATGGTGGCGTTCGTAAACCACCAGGTGGAGAGAGCAGCATCAGATTATTTTAAGTAAACGATCACATCATACTGCGCGATACTTATGTTAACCTGTAAATGCAAACACTTCGTCTCTGCATCTGTCTAGTAAAACCTTCTACGCAATGTGGTTTAGGAATGAGGATTGTAAATTTTAAAGTGTCATATAGACAATATTTACACCCTCATTTTGATTCAAAATACAGGAATATTATCCTACTATAGTACTACTTTTCTGGATAGTATTCATTATAGTTGATTGACTAGTATTATCAGAGGTGTTAGCACGTGTACTCGTTAACTTTGGAAAAAAATTATGTAAATGTATACAAGAATTGAGGCATTGTTGTTACTCCTTTCACACAACTTTACTTGTCGTTCTTACTAAAAATAGATAGTTTAAGATAAAATTGAATACATTGACTAATTAGCACAGAAAACCCAAGTGAAGAGTACATTAGATTAACATTTTGAATGATTAAAGAGAATAAATATGAAAGTCAAAAAGACAGTTTCTTAAGGGACGTGTTAAAGTAAAAATGTGACAAATAAAATGGTGTGTTTAGTCACCAGAAGCTAACTCTTATGGGACATAAAAACTGCAGAATTTAGGAAACGCATCTGATATCCTACAACATAATTCAAAGATTTCCATGGCCAATTAAGGCTAAAAGCATTTTTCCATAGTCTCCTGAAGTGTCATCAGAAATTGCACTCTCCAGAGTCACACTGTTCCTCTTGTAGTACTTCTCTTTGATGAGTTCCATATCGACTTCAGCTCGAGTAGCAACAACTCTAGTAAGAGACTCTTCATCTGTGCCAATCCCCTTCATTGCTAATCGAAGAACTTTCTCAAAGTACTTCTCAGGTTCCATCAAACACTTTATTGCTGATCTCAGTAAGGTCAAGTATTGATCCTTAGGATTGGCTCTCAAATCCTGTGTAAGCCCAATGACTTGATCAAACAAAGTTCATATATACAAATATTCAGAAAAAGGGAAGCGCGGTGCAATAAGCTCTTGTAATGTAATGCATAGGGTCTTGGGAAGGGTCGGACCACTAGGGTCTATGGTACGTTGCCTTACCCTACATTTCTGCAAGAGGTTGTTTCCATAGCTCTCGTGGAGGCCACATGGCAACAACTTAAGGCTCCCTTTTGGACAATGGATGTAACCCTTACAAGGCTCATGATTCTACGACTAGAACTAGTGACTCCTGAGGTCACACAGATACAACTTTACTGTTACTCCAAGGCTCCCCCCTCCCACAAAAAAACACTAACAAGACTTAAAAGTAAGAGAATTTGACAATGGAGTGATGTTTTGAACTCTACCTTGTTGATTGCATTACCAAATTTATCATTGTACTGATTAAATGTTGCATTGAGCTGTGTTTTACTCCGAATCGATAGAATTCTGATGAGCTCATCATCACTATAAGCCTTATCAGAGATCTTCTCGTGTAGTATCTTTGCTTCATCACTTGCTAAGTCCATATTCACTTCTTCTCCTTCATATCTTAACGCAGTTACAAGAGAAACCAAAAGCTGTTTGGGGATTAGTTTACGAAATGGAGGAAAATTACACCAACATGTGAAAGTACCTTACGAAAATCCCCTGTTGAGTGATCAGCAACATCTTCCTCAAGCGATTTCTTGTAACGAGCTTGGTAGTTCTGCCTCACTTTAAACAGATCAACAGAAGACCTAGCACACGCGATTTCCATGATAATGCAGTTGCTACCGGGTAGATGTTTGATAGCCTCGTTAACCAAACATGCATCGCGTTCAGCTGGAGCCATAGTCCACAAATGCACTACACGCTGCAACGCCAGTTTGATTGCAATATCAATGCAGGATTGTAGATGAGTGGATTCAAAAAAAAGTGCTAAAAACAATGTCATATCTACCACAATACTACTCCCTCTGTTCCAGTCTACGTGACACACTTTCTATTTTAGTCCGTTGCAGAAAGAATATAACACATAAATTGGAATGTACGAGTAGGGGATTCAACTGACCACCCTTAGACCAATGTGACTCTGCGAATCATGTCAAGAACCAAAACATTAGTAATCAGTTTTTGGTTTATAAGGAGAAAACGAAACGAACCTGAAAGTCACCTGATATTTCTCCTGCCAAGTCCTGGAGAAGATCTTTTTCATAAGCTGCTTCGTAAGTTTCTCTGATTAGCTTTCGTTGAGCTGCATTTCGATGACCTAAGATCCGAATAATACACTCTTCATCTGTTCCCCATCCTGCAAATGTTTCATCAACATAGCTCAGAGGCAAACAAATGTCGCGCCATGAATCAATACGTTCATCTGAACCCAATACTTTTGCCAGAACGCGCATACACATATATTATGTGTGCATAACATTACTAAATCTTCAACAAATATGAAATCAAGCAACTCATAATTTCAAAAGTTCATTCGTTTCATAACTTTGGTCCAAACTCTGTATTTGTGTATAAAAAAATCAATGAAATATGTGTTAAGTATAAGCATTTGAGGTCGTCGTTACGTTCATCTAGGATCTCAAATTCATAAAGTCCAAATCCTAGATCCATCTATATGGTTATGCAACTACTAATTGTATAGCAAATCAAATCAGAATTAAACTAGTGATGGATGATTACTTTTTTAAAAAAAAACACAAATGGATGCATGCTTCTTCATGCATAATATAATTTACATAACCATTATAATACAATTCACTACCAAAACAAAATATATACAGGAATTAGCGACAGATAAAATTATAAAAAAAAATCACGTTAGGTATGAACTATTAACGATAAATTTCGTAACTAATTAATTATAGATCTGAAGGTAAAAGAGAGAGACCTACAAAAGCTTTTCTTAGTTGTTGAGAATCCTCAGCTGCAGAAGGAACCAATTCTGGAATTTTTAGACTTTCCATATTTTTTTTTATTTATGATTTGTGATTTCAATCTTACTCATTCTTGTAATATATGTATTTTTTGAATCCGATATAAGAGGAAAGACTATTTATACGTGTGTTTTCTTAATATCTGAATGTATAAAATTTGTTTTTATTTAGAAGTTTTTAAATATATAATTGAATATTTTTATCAAGTTGTATGGCGTTTGGAGATGATAATGGTGGTTGATGAGGGTGTTGATTGAGGATGGATGTTGGCTAGTGATGTTTAGCTAGAATAGTGATGATGGTTGACAGTAGTGATTGATGGTGACAGCTTGACGGGTCATAATTGTAATGTGTAATAGTAATAGTTTATGACGTTGATTGGTGATATTGGATATATAACGATGATTTATAGTAGGTACGATTGTGACTAACGATTATAATAATGGCTACGAATTACGATAGCAAATAGAGAGAAATGGCAAAAACAAAAATGATATGCGACTCCGCTGGGGATCGAACCCAGAATCTCTGGTTTCGTAGACCAGCGCCTTATCCATTGGGCCACGGAGTCGTTGTTGATATAGTTAAAGCAATTTTCTATTTAACCTCAAAAAAACATTTTCCAATGTTTGAAATCTTCAATATTTTCGACTATATGAAAATGAATTATTTCCCCTTTTTAAAATCCTTCTTCATTCACCTATAATAAAATAGATTTGTACGTTGCAGCAAATTTTGCGATACAAATACTTTCATTGTCCACACGTCTAAATCGAGTGATCATCTAAAATATTATCTCCAATATTTCGTTAGTTTATGAAGTAATGAATAGCTTTGTAATATGCATTATAGCATACTCAACTCTCCTGACCTACTCCGTATAACAATTTTTTATATTTTCAACACGCCCCATCTGTGTAGGTTCTCCTTATTCCTTTTCTCCACTTTGTTACACACAAATAAGAAGTTAACAAAATTTGTATAAATCACATCTTGTACATTATGATACTTGAGCAAGAAATTTCTTTAAGAAAATAAAAAGTTATTCATCTGTTCATATCACTGACCTTGTCATTGTCAACTTAATCAAATAATGAAACTTCCTAATAAATCTTTACCTATATGTTGACATATTGAATATGCATTCATCATCTGCTATTCTTGCACAATACAAAGAAAAATTACTTCCGAAAAATCCCGAGTTTGATTATGTTCATATTAATAAGGAAAATCCCCCAAAACCACCATTTTTAAGAATCTCAACTTCAATAAAGACCCTTTAGTGAAAGGCATATATGCTTTAATTTTTAGAACGGTAAAGACAAAAAAGTCTCAAAAATATGACAGAGGTATCTTCATATCAAACAGTAAGCATTTAATATTCTCTCTTCTTACTCCCTAGGCTTTTCTTCTTACCTAGTTTTGATGAGCTGAATTACCTCTCTTGGTGCTGAAACCTAGTTCTAAAGAATAACCACGTAAAGCCGACAAGGTTAAATTTAATACAAGTATATATGAGGATAAGAAAATTTCTCAACACTCAGCCCAAAACAGGATTGCCCATTGCACTACAAGAATCTTTTCCTGTCACAAGACATCATCAGAATCAAATAACAAAGAAATAATCCGGAGACATGTGAACGTAATAGTCATACTATCAAGTCACATACCCTGAGGACCTTCACATCTTGAAGATGCACCTTCTGGAGAGAAATAGCAAAGGCAAGCATCAGGCTGCTGTCTGAATGTTATCTCATAGTTATATTAGTGTTAAAAACTAAGAGAGAAAACTAGTGTAGCAAAGAAAACAGAAATCGATAAGTAGTGAATGTCAGTCGAGGAAAAAAACACAACACAAACTGTTAGTGATCAGTCGTCAAGAAAATCCAACAGCATAATTCAATAAGTTTGAAATCATATGCTAGGCAGCTATGACAAAAGACAAATGTTCGGCATTATTAATATCCATATGGCACCTAATTAGCTGCTCCAACACATGAGGAATTGACTCAACTCCTCATCTCTCTGCAAATATCATAATAGTACAGCATGGTTAAAGAAGTAAGACATGGCAAGAGGTAAGAAATCATGTGAAGTGCTCCAACAAATCAGCCTGTCAAAACATGGCAACAAGGAGAAACGTTAAGACCAAATTGAAAAAAAGCTTTTTCAAACTAGAGGAAAAAGAAATCTCTAAAGAAGTCAAATTCCAACAAGTGGAAAGCAAGGACCAAATTCTAGACATAGATACTTGTCCAGGTAGAAGTAGAAAACAAATGAAAATGGTTGACAAATTTGTTAGTTCCTCCTCGCCAACCCTTTTTTCTTTCTCGGGGATGTTAGTGGAAGTGGAAGAATAAGTTAAGAAATGGTCAAAAAAGATGCTAAAAAGGATAGATACAGAAAGCGCCTATGAGTATGCCTAATATATAAGTACCCCATCCCTCAAAAGAGAAGAGAGTGTGTGCGGGTGGGGACTAAAGGTGGAAAACAGTGAGGTATCATAAGATCGCTAGATGTCCTAGGGTAAGTGCGACTGTGACAGTGTGAGTATGAGTGTATACATAAGGCATGAAAAGTGCAAACCAAGATTGTACACCAAAACAAAAGGTTACAACTGTAACATTTCCATACCATGTACTACAAGCAAATACAAGTTACCTGCATCATCATTTGATCTCCGACATGAACTTTTCATACTTTGCATCTGTACCATATGGAGGTTTGTCTGCAGATGGTGGAGGTGGAGATGCAGGTTCTGGTGGATTTGAGGCCCAAGGAACATTGCTAATACTCTGTGAATGATCTATACTGGACTGTGTTGCAGTTGGAGGAAGAGGAGGTGGTGGTGCCATGCCATAATAAGAAGGATAACTATATGAAGATGTTGGATATGCAGATTGGGTATGGGGTGGCATTGCAGCGACGGAATTGGCAAAGGCATAACTGGGAAGCGATTGAACAGGAGCACTATTATGAGATTGCACTCCGGGAGGATAACTTTGTTGTGTCTCACCAGAAGATGTATAATTTTGCTGGTTTTCGCCAGAAGAAACTGTCTGAGTAGGGACACCGGAAGATGGTGTTGGCATTGGTGGAGGATACTGTGCACCATATGGAGGTACAAATTGACCTGGAGGAGGAGGATACATGGTTGATACAGGAGGCGGGTAAGAGGCATATGGTGGAGGCACAGGTGGTCCCCAAGGAACTGGAGTCCCAGCATAGCCACCCGGGGGACCAATGGGACCACCCGTTGCATACTGCTGAGACGGATAGACTCCGGATGCCTGATTAGGAACAGGATATGGGGGCATTGCTGGAGCAGGAAGGCTTGGAGGCACAGCAGGCTGAGGGGGTTTGCCGGCTACTCTCACAGCAATAGTTCTCCCATCAAGACAATGACCATTCATGCCAACAGTAGCACTATTAGCTTGTTGAACATCTGCATACTTAACAAAACCATAACCTTTACTCAGACCACTGAGACGATCCTTTATAACTTTAGCCATTACGATGGTACCAAAGGGAGAGAATAAATTGATCAACCCATCGTCATCTAGAGTAGGAGGAAGG